TCCTGAGATTAGACCAGTTTCCTGATTGGATTCAGCCCCTTTGGTGCTTTTGCTTCTACCTCAGCTACTTCTGGGATTGCTCACAGAAGCCATATATAAAAATATATATGTGCATATATATATACATATATACATATATATATATATATATATATATATATATATATAAAATAGCTACACTTGGCACCAGAGAGATTTCCCCAGAACTCTCCTCTAGTTTGTTTCTTTATGTGTGTTATCTCCTGACCTTTCGCTGGAGTCCGATTTTCTCTGAACTTGTTCCTGTGGAGATGATACTTGGCTCTCTGCCTTTCTCCTTTGCGTTAACTATCACCTGAGATTTGGTCTTATGTTTCTCTGCTTGTCCCCAACCACTCCATTTTTTTGCCCAGTGTGGCTTGTGGCAGCCTGTGTACCAAGTGTGATGCTTGTCTGGGAGGGGAGTGGATGAATATGCAGACATGAGCCAGATTAATCTGAAGAAAAAATACACCATTGGGGTCCTCAAACTGCAAATCAATCGTACAACATCTAGCTGCATAGGGTGCTTTATTATTGCTTTCATTACAGAGTTGTGCTCACTCTTTCTCTCTCTCTCTATGTGTGTGTATATATATATATAATTTTATTCCCATTATAATTTTGTTCCCATTATAGATATAGTTTAATCTGGAAAAATTCATTTATGATTAAAGTGTGTCTTCTACTCTAAAATTCTGTGTTTCTATGTGTCACTTTTCGTCATCTACAATTTTTTTCCCTTAGCTCTGGGACTCCATTTTATTTCTGAGATGCTTATGGGAAGTTGCAGAAAGAAGTTGGTTCACAAACAAATTGATTTTGCTTCTCCTCCAAAAAGCTTGACTTGGAGAAGAAAAGGATGAAATGGGATAAAAAGAAAGAAAATGAATTTGAGACCCACTGGCCAGGAGTATTATTTTCCAATCATTTTCAGTATTTGATGAACAAAAGGGAGAGAAGTTCAGGGTCTCTGCAATGTAAGCTGACCTTTCACTTAAATAAGTTTCTGGTCATCAAATATCTCTACCTCTCCCCTCCTTCCCCCCCCCCCCCCGCCGTATCCTGTGATGACTCAAAACTTTTCTAGTCTCTTATCTCTTTACAAAGAGACAGGTGATGCAGACAAGGAGTAAAGCACCTAGATAATCATGTTGTATAGCTATCAGGACCTACGCTACTTCCTCCAAGCCACGAACTTAAAAGCTATGATTTACAATCTATAAAAGCTGAGTTTGGACTGTCAGTGACCTGGCAGATCCATTTTCATCTCAATGATGATGTTCAGGAATTCCCAGAAGATGGGAACTCATTGCTTCTCCCACTGGAAAGAGACCTTGGATGGTGTGAGTCCATTCCCAAACTTCTCCAAGGCATTAGGAGTTCTGGGATACTTTTTTAGTTGGACGGGGAGGGATCCCCAGCTATAAAAACACCTGCTCTAATATTCTGTCACATAAATAACAACGGGTTCACGTCTTTCTAATAAGAAGTCGTGGCTACAGCAGGAATGCTGTGTGTCCTCATGGAGGCTGAAGGTCTCTGTTCAGTCTGTGCAGTCTGTGGGGAGGGCTCATTCTTCATCTCTTGAAGTCCATTGTGAATACTCTAAGGGGGAACTGGTTCCTATAACTTTACAGGGTGATCTGTTGGGGTTTTATTTGTTAATGTTTATATTTCTTTGTTCCTTTCACTTGGTTTTCCTCTCCTTTTCCGAGGAGGCTCTTACTATGTGGCTCAGGGTGGACCCAAACTCATGGAGCCTAAGCTAGCCTTGAACTTGCAATGCTTCTTCATCAGCCTCCCAGTGGTGGGATTACCAATGTGCATATCCATGCTTAAGACAACCATTTCCTTCGTGGAGTTAGTTCCAACATTTCCTCTGTGTGAACGCTTCCCTTTCATCTAGGAGTCAACGTGTGCTGAAATAGCATCTCTAGGTGTGATCAAGCAAAGATGTGTTGGTTAGACTTTGTCCTCCCCCGAAAAAAGTCTAAAATGAGTCTAAAGCCAGTGTTGCCCAAGGGCCTGTTCTTGGGAACTAGAGTGCTAGGAACAGAAGCGTGGGTGATTTCAGTTATCGAACTTGGTTGTGAAAAGGAATGATGCAGAGATGGCTGGGTGCCTCTGTCTCATGCCTGTAATCCTAGAACTCGGAAGACTCCTCAGATCTCACTATGTTGATTTGAAGCTAAGCCTGGGCAGGACAGTCCATAAGACACTAATCTCCATTGAACCATCAAAAAGCTGAGCATGGAGCTATGACTCAAGTGTATAGAGTGCCAGCCTTGAGTGGAAAAGCTAAGGGGCAGTGTCCAGGTCTTGAGTTTAAACCAGAATAAAAGGAGAAGGAGAAGCAGAGAGAGAGGGAAGAGGAGTGGGAGGGGGAAGAAGAGGAGAGGGAAAGACAGACAGACAAACAGAAAGACAGAGAGAGAGAGAGAGAGAGAGAGAGAGAGACTAGAGGATTTGATTGAAGTCCAGATTCATGGATTCCAGATTCTTCTAGCCCAGTGTATCTGACCCAGGTTTACTAAAACACATATGATCTACATTCTAACTTTGAGACATATTTAACTTGAATTTTCTACTATTTTCTGAAATAGTTCTTTAAGCCTTTAAAATGAAAATCATTCTTTCAGTTGCATAAGGCAAGTTACAAAGCTAAGGCTTTGAGGATGGTAGGAACACAGTGCTTTGCATGTGTCTCTGAGACACATGACAGTCACTGTGTGTGGCTAGATCTCTTGAGTCTATGCATCCTAAGGGTACCTCTCCTGGACTCTGGCTCCCTCTTAGGTATCTCCAGGTTCTGGCAAAGTAAAGTAACCCTTTTTCTCAAAGTTATTCGTAACCCAAGTCTAAAAGTTTAAAAGCTAGGATATCTGTTTTCTACACCTGGACTGCTAAACTTACTAAAATCTGTCCCCTCCATCTGTGTGAAACCAAATAGCTGGAGCACGAAGGGCTGTGGATTTCCTCAGATGAGAACTGAAATATCTTTTCTCTCATGCTAATGTTAATTTTCAAGAAGGGAGCTCGGTTAACCAAGAGAAATAAAACTTTAGATGGAGTATGTTATTTATAGCGAAGGCAGAGCATCATTATTATCAATTCTTGTTACAAAATACACTGGAAAAAATATCCTTTTTGTTATTTAAATACGGCTGGGCTACATTGAGAAATAGTACAGATGTTAATCCAGAGCTTCCAGCTGCATCCTGGGTAATCATTATTGTGTTTTATTCTTATTTGGAATTACTAGTAATAGACTATATTTCTGTATGAAATTCAAATCAGGGAGCACCAATGAATTGAGATGATTGATATTATATACACACACACATAATTCTAGAATTGGAAAACAACAATGGAAATATTTCTCTCTTAGAGGAAAAATCTACTCAACTCGCTGCTATGTTAGTGATCTTGATGAAAAGAACATTTTTTCATTTAAGTAGATGTGCCAAAAATTTACTCATTTCTTCACAGTTGGAATGAACTAACCCTTGACCAGTCATCTAAATTTGTTTTGAAAATATCTATGTAATTGTTGAAAATCTGAAATGTAAATAGTTGGATTCTGCAATGTATGGATTTGGTCCACCAGTATTGGAAAAAATGCACACTTGGGTGCTTTTATTGTGGGCTTTTATTTGTTTGCTTTCATAGATTCTGTTTTCTTGGTTTAAGTTTCTTACTGACTTAGAATTTTATAGATAGAACTAGGAGAGAAGTTGGTAATAGGAATATAATTTACAGCATCCCTGGATGCACATTTTTTTTGCTGCTGGTCCTGGGGCTTGAACTCAGGGCCTGGGGCTGTCGCTGAACTTTTTGGTTCAAGGTTAGCTCTCTACCACTTGAGCCACAGCTCCACCTCTAGTTCTTTCTGGTGATAAATTTTGGAGATAAGAGTCTCATATTTTTCCTTCCTTGGGCTGGCTTTGAACCATGATCCTCAGATCTTAGTCTCCTGAGTAGCTTAGGACTACAGGTGTGAGCTACTGGTGACTGGCTACACTTTCCCATTTTTTTAACCCATGTGGCTGACTTAGTATTTGATTCACCATTGAATTATAGTTCCTGGTCCTTCTGAACTTTCAGAGAATTACTCCTAATTCTCTGTAATAGACTAACGTTCTGTTTGGTTAGGTTTTCTTCTTATATTTTCTGCTGTTCCAACTTTAACTTGAAGCATTTTGGTTTGTTCTTAAATCTGAATTATACATCTTCAAAGAAATGAGCTTGAGCTTTTGATCTTGTTCACCTGGATCCCCAAACCAACCTGATTAATTTTCTTCTGTCCCTGACATATATGCCAAGCATACATGCATGGGGGCCCTTAGTGGGTGCAAAAAATAGAGAAACTTTACTACAGATAATTTTTCAATGCAGACTATATAAGGTGTGCATGTGTAAAACACATACAATAATATACTACACTATAATAAATATAATATAATACCATGTAATATAAAGCTGTTTTAAGACATTTTGTAAATATTATGCTATACTAAATGCATATATTAAGACCATCTATATCATGTATTTCTTGTTATTAACACATTTTAAAAATGATCATGGCCAGTTTCCAATTACGTTTTCAATTATAGAGCATAAGAGATGTTAATGTGATGACATTACACAGCCTTCCAAAGTGACAGCACAGCACAAAAGGGAAATTGGAATTCCAAAGTTTGAACTGAGTAGGGGGAGTTAGAGAAAATAGACTCAGGAAGGAAGAGGAGTAGCCAGCCAGGCTGGCTGAGACTTGACAGCCAAAGTGACCAATCAGAAAGAAGACAGCCAAGGCTTTACTTTGTCATAGCCCACCTGAAGTCAGTCTTCGTGGGGAATGTCATACAGAAGCTGACAGTGAGTAGACAGCTCTGAATTTTGTGGGAGGGTTTTGTTTGTTTCTGCTGTGGTGCTGTAGCCAGTCGTGGCTTCATTTTGCACATTTTCTCTTCTCATTTCAGATGACTATACACTTCATGGGCCCGTTTTTGTTCAAGAACCAAGTCATGTCATGTTCCCTTTGGATTCTGAGGAGAAAAAAGTGAAGCTCAATTGTGAAGTGAAGGGGAATCCAAAACCTCACATCAGGTGTGTTGGTTTGAGCTCCTGCATGCAGTTCCTATTATAAAAACCAGCAAATACTTACCTAGCACTGATTTCAGAGGGAACTTTTAGAAAGGCATCATAGAATACCCTGGGAAATCTGAATAAATGATTATTTCAAGAAAACAGTGCCAACGTCTTAGTACTGGGGATTAAACAGTCAGATTGATATTCTTTAAAAATATTAACAATTCCTGCTAAATATTCATAAAAATTACCAAATTTAAATGTTTTAGCAAACTGTTGAGTAAATAGGACATACTCTAGTCCAAAAGTGGTTTTGTAAGCAGCACAGGAAGCTAAACACTAAAGGTAATCATCACCTTGATGAACTAGGTGATCTGAGCTTTGCCTTCTGCCATTCCACAGTCACTAGGATAGCAAGAAAAATGCTGGGTCAGCTAACAGGACATGTTAATGAAAAAAATCCCAAAATAAGTAATAAATTCACCTTCCCATAGGACTGTAAAGCACAGATATTCATTTATTTCATAACTTAAGTCTGAGTGGTTTTCATTACAAATGAGATGTAGCTAAAAGAAAATTAGTAAGTATAAGACTACTCTGAAGAAATTTTCCCCAGGCAGTAGAAACAGACTACAAGAAGCAAAAATGTATATATATATATATATATATATATATATATATATATATATGTTTGTGTATGTGTGTGTGTGAAGAAAATTAATCAGTATGCCAAAGATACACCCAGACCATTGTTTTTTTATAACATTACTCACAATAGCTAAGACATAGAATCAACTGGGATGTCCATGAACAGATAAGTGGATCAAGACAGTGCAATATATACCCATGGAATACTGTTCATACACAGAAATGAATGAAATTCTGACACCCTCAGCAGCGTACATAGAGCTGGAGGGATGCATGTAAGGAGGAAAAGAGTCAGGTGGGACACATTCTTCCTTGCATGCCAATCTACAGAGCTGACCTCACGGAATTTGAGAGGAGAACAGCAGCGACCAGGGGTCTATGAGAGACGAGAGAGAGAGAGAGAGAGAGAGAGAGAGAGAGAGAGAGAGAGGGAGAGAGAGAGAGAGAGAGAGAGAGAGAGAGAGAAGGAAGGGAGGAGAGGAGAGGAGAGGAGGGTAGAGAAGAGAATGGTAGAGGAAGGAAGGAGTTGAATAACAAGTATGAAAAATAAAACTAGATAGGATGACTAAGACCTAGTGTTCTGCAACACAACAGCATTACGATGAATTGTGTATCTCAGCATAGCTAGAAGGGAGGACATTGAACTTTCCCAACACAAAAGCTGATTGCACTAATTTGACCATTGAGTGTTATATACATGTATCAAAATATCACACTTGACCCCATATACATGTATCATTTTATTCATTGGTAGGAAATCAAAGGAAAAATAACAAACAAAATTTTAAATCATAACAATAATAGAAATAAGTTGAAAAGAGGTAGGCTGGACAAAGAATCATCTGTGTGGCAAATATTTTTTATTTAAGAATAAAATTGGAAGAATAAAAGTGGAAGAAATAATTGTATTGTCAAACCTCATAGAATTCACAAACTTTATAGACCATGATAATGACAATTTGCCTTCTGAAGGTTAAAATGTGTTTGTGACTTTAACTAACTATCATTATTCCAAATACTGTAAAGTATGTGAAATTAATGTAATCATATAATCTCCATTTAAAAAGAAAAGTGAGAGAAGGGATGGGTTAGGAGTGATGGGTGACAATGTTGCCAAACACCTTGAAAAAATAAGAATAAAATTGAACCTGTACTTCATAGCATACACAAGAATCAGTTCTAGGTGTATAGAAAATTTCGATGGGCATTTAAAATGATTTAAATAGAAAACAGGCATACATATTTATAACTGTGGAAGAGGAAAAATTTCTTAAACATGACTGAGTACAAATTGTAAAGGAAAATATTTAACTTCATTAATATTGAGAACTTCTATTCAAAGTAATAGACTGAGAGACAGTCAAGTACAGAGTAGTAGAGATATTTGTAATTTATTTGTTACTGTTGAAGGATTGATATCAGAATATTTTTTAAAAATTTCTATAAATCAAAATGTAAAAAAAAAAAAATAGCAATCCAGTGAATACAAGAACCTAACAGCTGACCAAGCTCCTTCAAAAAAAAAAAAAATGAGGTGCCAGCCCCTGGTAGCTCATGCCTGTAATCCTAGCTACTCAGGAGGCTGAGATCTGAGGATCATGGTTCAAAGCCAGCCGGGGCAGGAAAGTCTGTGAGACACTTATCTCCAATAAACCACTCAGAAAACTGGAAGTAGCACTGTGGCTCAAGTGGTACACGGCTTGCCTTGAGCTGTAGAAAGAGTTCAAGCCCCATGACCCACAAAAAAAAAAAAATGAAGTAAATATAGAAGACTTTATCATTAGTAAACAGAAACATAAAAGGAAAATGAATCTTAGAGGACTGACAGTAGATTGGTAGAGACATGGAACAAATAGAACCCTTAAATTTTTCTGGTAGTAATTGTGTTGGTAAAAGCCATAGGGCAGTAAAAGCAGCATCCTGCAGTAAAACTAAAGATATATTCACCTTTGGAGCGAGTTGGCTTAATTTCATAATATATTCAGAAGTGAACATTAACTGGGATGTTCATGCAAGGTAACCTCTTACTGTTGTGAAGATAAGCGAATCACAGCTACCCAGGAATGGAACAAAATAAACCTGAAGGTACAGAATGAGTTATAGCACAGTACTAAGCATATGATGATGCATTAAGTTCAAAAGTGTGTAAGATGGATTGGTTATTTAAGAGTGGAAAAATGTAAGCTTTGCTCTCTCAAAGTTTTCCACTGGGCCTGAGATTTCAATGGACCTAAAACAAACCAAAGCAAAGAAAGTATAGAAATGTATTGAAAACTAGTTGTATATGGCCAAGAAACGTCAATAGGAAAGGACCTAAATAGGTGACTGGACACTTAGGCAATGCATGGGACCGTAAATAATCATGAGACACAATTGTGAGACCGCAGCTAAGTTATGTGAGAAGACTAGGAGAAAATATGTTTGCCAGGGCCTTTTCTCTGAGTCAGCTTCCAGTCGTTGATGGTTAAGAATGCTTGTGTACAAAGAAAATGGCACCTGTCCTCTAAGAATTTCATCTCCTGCACTTAGAAACTGAAGGAAGATTACAGTGATCACCTAACAGTTGCTTTTCAAAAGGCTTTAACCCAAATAGGCCAGAGTGGCATTTGGAGGTGATTCTTTTAACAAATACAACCATATCTGCAAAAAAAATCATTTAAAACATTATGGAATAAAGTCCAAATTGAAGATAATGATTAATCACTACAGTGGAATCATTGTAATCACGATAGATACCAGAGATGTCAACAGTAATGATGGGATTCTTTTCCTTAGATATGGATCTTCCTTGACTCACGATTCTTTATTACTTACTTATTTCTAATAAATATTATTTTGCCTATATTCAAAGTTAATGAATGGATTAAAAATTGAGCTAATTTTAGGTAACAGTAAAAGAAGTCAGACCATTTAATAACTGAATGTTAAAAAATATGTATATCATAATATAGAAATAGAAAATAGAAAAAGAAATAAGTAGATCATAAAATCAAATGGTATTATTAAGAAGGAGTCACAAGAACACACAGTGTTATATTGTTTGTTACTGCTGTATTTTGTTGTTATTGACTCTACTGGAGCTTGAACGCAGGGTCTAGGAGCTGTCCCTTAACTTCTTAGCTCAAGGCTGTTACTTTGCCACTGGAACCATGCCTCCACTCTGGCTTCTTTTTCTGGTTAATTGGAGATCAGAGTCTCATGGACTTTCCTGCTTTGCCTGGCTTTGAACCATGATCCTCAGATCTCCGCCTCTAAGTGGGGAGGCTTACAACAGAAGCCAACAGTGCCTGGCTCAGGATTTTGCTTGCTTTTTGTTTCATTTATGGTACTGGCAACCAAACTAAGAGCCTCATATATAGCCGGGCAAGGAAGGGCTCTGCCATTGAGCTCTGTCCTTAGCCCACTAGTCTAAAACAGGTAAAAGACTCAGACATCCTATAGGAGTTCAACGTATTTGCATGGTGCAGATTATTTTAGAATTGATGTGCTTCTTTATTCATCTATTCAAACATTTCATCATTTATCCATCCAGCCACTCAATCATCTCCAACTATGAATTCTAAGGTACTTGGAGTAGGCTCTTCCTTGAACTGGATCTCAGATCTGGGCCTCCTGAGTACTGGATCTGTAACTGTATTATATTAGGATTCTTTAAAAAAAAAAACACACATCCTCTAAGAAAACAATATTAACCATTACATCACACAGGTCCAATGTCCCAGCTCCTGCCTAGGTTTGAAGTACTTAGAGCTTATGAACTACTAGTGATCATTTGAGGACTGCCCAGCTATAGAAATAGTTGGCATGCCACCGTGTCAATATGAGTAACGTGTGCTCAGGATGTGATCATCCTATAAGAAAGTCTAATGGGAGGTAGGGAGGAAAGATGTCAGGCAAGTTTTCATAGGAGATGTTTTAACTCTTTGAAAGGCCACATGCTCTATTGCCACCCACTTGAGAAAAAAGTACATTCCAGAAATGGACTCCCTAGGCTGGAATCCATAATTAGAGTGAGCCTGTAATTTATCACCCAATACAGGACACAGTTGGAGAGGGAAAGGAAGACCAGTGTTAATGATTATTTTGTGACAGTGGCTGAAAACCCAGCAGTGCCCCCAAGCAAACCAAAACAAGCAGTTACTCTGTGTCTGATCCAGTCAACTCCAGGCTAAATCTATGATTTGAAAATGCATTAGATAGTCAACACAAATGTAAGCGTCAAAGGTGTCTAGGTATATGGAGATGAGGAGTTAACTAATCGCAGTTTGGGTACACAGCCAAGTGGAAGTTCAGATGTTAGCCAGAAATGAAAACAAATTTTACGGCAGGATTTGCTAGAGTTGCTGCTTTGTTTTTTCTCCAAACTGTGACCTTTAATTAACATTGCTTTTGGTTAACATTGTGTTTTTAGATAGAGGGGCTTGCCTTGTTATTTAAAACAAGCCTGGAAAGAGAAACCTATTATGTTTTTTGTCTTTTTTTTTTAAGACTGCTAGGAAAAAGCTGAGGGCTTTTCATCAAAGGCACTCGCAATTCCTTACAGTGTAGTTGGCTTGCCTTCAGCCCTCTAGTAGTTTCCTCTGGATGTAATAGCTATCTGGTACCTAGGAGTTTAAAATCTGCTTCCTATTGAAGGAAAGAGGAAGAGGAAGAAGGGGAAGATCTGGCCATTTCAGCTGTGTGTCAGGTGAACTCCTTCAGTCTTTGGCTGACTCACCAGGTTGAACAAGGAGGAGAAAGTCCAAAGTGAGCTCTCCCAGGGGATCTTCAGCATTTATCTGGTTTTTCCTGGTTACAGCCTTGCTGACCTTTTTGCTTTGTGTTTATTCCCTTGGCGGAGTCTTGTCTTTTCCTTCTTTCCCACCCCTTCGTTCTGGAAGGATTGACCCAGACTTAGAAAAATTTCAGAAGTTTTGACTCTCACCAACTTCCCTGGTATTAAAAGTTCCCTCAGGACAAATGACATTACTTATTTCACTCAGGATCCGTTTCCACACAGCAAAACCTTCCAATACTAGGTTGCAGTACTTTTTCTCTGAGTTTCCAGCAAACAAATTCCAAGTCAAAAAAAAACAAGGCTTGCCTCTACCTTAGTATTAAGTTCAATCAGTTATCAGTATAAAGAGAGAAGAGAGAGAGAGGAGAAAGAGAGGAAAGGAAGACTGAGAGGGAGGGAGAGAGAGCCAATTTGCTCTAGCAATTCAGAAATCAGCTTAGGAGACACCCATTTGTCTTGCCTCCTGGCAAAATCTCTTATTTGCTCCAAATAAGCATTGCCTCTGTATTGCCAATGCTTAACAGATCACTCACACATTGAAGGTAAAAATGTGACTTTTTCAAGTGTTTCACTATGCAATGAGATAAGGAATTCAGGCCAACCCACATTCAATTGGAATGAACATTGACTGCCTGGCCATAAAACCTGGTATAATGCTTTGTAATAGAGACCCAAAAGCATTTCTCCGAAAGCCCTTTATTTTCTAAATAATCCCTTCTCTTCTGCTGTTTGTATGTAAAAGCAGGCACTAAAGTAGATGAACTGACTTTGTGCACAGCATTTTAGTTGAGATGACTAGTGCAGGCAAACCTACAGAGATGTTATTATTCCCACAAATGCTCTTCTCAAAAGGCTCACTTGGTTCCATTCTCAAAATCCACACTCTGCTTGCAGCTCACATTATATTGCAATTTCCTCTTTGAGTTCTTAGATTTGTCATATTAAATCGTTCTACTATCATTTGAAGTGAGAGTTATCGCTAGGACGTGATCGAGTGACTAAAAGCAAATGTCTAGGGCTGGCAGTCTGTTCTAGAGATTCATGCACACATATACCTATTGGAATATAACCCGACTGTTCTCTTTATTGCTTATTACTTCTTGTCTGTGTCAGAGCACCAAGAGAATTACTGTCATTCCTAAAAACATTGTCAGTTTCTAATGCCCAACTTCTTATAAACAAACACATAAAGAGCTATGTCCTATTTTTGTGTCTCTGATTTTTCCTCCCCCTTCTGTTTCTGGATTTCTGTATTTCAAAGACCCTGAGGTGAATACGCATTTACTGCTATGCTGTGGTGTACTAGAATGCCTCATACATTGCGTATGCTCAAAACTCAAATATCTAACAAAAAAGTAAAATGTTAAGTCAATTAAATCCCACAAGTGTTATTAAACACAGTGAAGGTCAAGTCTTCAGTGGCTACAGTATAAATGCAAAAGTGACTTCGGTACTAGGGGCCTGTGGCTCACTCCTATAATCCTAGCTACTCAGGACATTGAGAGTTGAGGATTGCAGTTCAAAGTCAGGCAGAAGTATCCATGAGACTCTTTATCTCCAATTAACCAGCAAAAATCTAGAAGTGGAGGTATACCTCAGATGGTATAGTGCCAGCCTTGAATGAAAATGTTAAAGAGTGCCCTGGCACTGAATTCAAGTCCTAGTACCAACACACACACACACACAAACACACAGAGTGATTTGGGAAATGTATCTATAAAGTGAAGACAGCAATCCTACATAAAAGAATAGGCAGTTTTCAGTGGGACAGCCACATTGATTAATTTTGATTAGTAATATAGGAAAAGACTTGATTGGAGGAAGTGCCCCTTAAGATTGATTTGTGAGAAGAAGCATATCTGCTTTTGCTGATACCAGTTAGCCAAAATCTTGAGCCTAATATGGAAATATAACTAGAGTGCCCTAGAATTAAAGAATGCACAAGTCTGTTAAAACACAAATCCACCCCTCATACACACACACACACACACACACACACACACACACACACACTTGCCTAAAGAAATGGTAATGTTCAATATGTTAAGGAAATAAAGCTAACATTTTTCATAGATTATAGGTGTGAACCACCACCTTTCATTATCCCTTGTGTTTATTTGAATCACTTTTCTCTGTGCTACTGTATTATTTTAAATCTCCCAACATGATTGCTACTGTGAGCTTCTTAATAATTCACAAAGTCCATCTAACACAATGTTAATTTAGGGTTTGTGAGCATGGGGGAAAATATATAATAGTCACTCAATTGTATTCGTTTGTGAGGTAGTAGGTTTTGTTTTGTGGAGTTAAGTACTTGAAGGAGAAAGGAATTATGGGAGAAGATGATTGGAACAAGGTTTCATAAGTACTAATTCTCCACTAATGGCTGAACTTCCTAGAGATGATTTGGTTAAAGTAATTTCTCATTCAATGGAATGTTATTGGCTAGAGAAAAAAAAATTGTGAATCTTCTTACCAAAGCTTTGCTTTTGAAATTATGTGAGTCACATTAAAATGTTTTGGGCTGCTGTACTAGATTTCACAGGTGATCCCAATAGATAAACAGAAGAAAAGCAAAACATTTTTTTCTGTCAGATATCTAATAGCCTGACAGGCAGTTTTCTGGGCACTTGACTGATATGTTGATAGCCAGTGACTGTGGAGATCCTCAACGTGAGTCACAGTTATGGCAATCTGGTCTCTCAAGCAAAACTCTAGATCAATCCCCACTTTCGTCATATTAAGGACCAAATCAAAGCAACTCTGTTGCAATTGCACCAAATATTCAGCAATCTACCTGAAAGCGATGCATTCTGTCATTTGTCTAGACCAATTTAGAGAATGACTGAAAATGAGAAAAAGGGACTTTTACTGGAGAGTTCTATTTGAAGGAAGTTGCAAGAGGTGCTCTAGGAAACGTGGACCTCTGCAAAAAGTTAAGTGCATAGCTTGCATCCTCAGGAATCACAAAACAGACTTTAACTTTTTACTATCACCATTTATTTTACAGGACATGCTCTCTGCCTGGCCTCTTTAAAGTGTTTTATACAGCCATGGCTACATTTCTGATTTTTTTTTTAACAGTTTTTAAAAAGATCACAAATGTTTCATGCTATGAGTAGTTTTTGTACATTTTAGACAATTGAGAACTATTGATTGATACTTCAAGGCTTGATCTGCTGGCATTTTTGTACTATAGGTGGAAGGTAAATGGAACAGACGTTGACATTGGTATGGATTTCCGCTACAGTGTTGTGGAAGGCAGCTTGTTGATCAATAACCCCAATAAAACCCAAGATGCCGGAACGTACCAGTGCATAGCAACAAACTCGTTTGGGACCATTGTTAGCAGAGAAGCAAAGCTGCAGTTTGCTTGTAAGTAGCAATTATATCCTACTGCAAATGTAACTTGGACTTTTTGTACCATTGGACCCATAACGCTTTGAAACAGTTTTGTTTGAAAAACCAAACAGATTTTAATTGGTTATATGATCTTCTTTACCATTTTTTCATATTTTAGAAGGATCTCTTTCATAGGAAAAGTTGTACCTATGAACGGGAAGGTGTATGCTTCTGTCTTCCTAAGTATTTAGATAGTTTGCATATATTATACTTTGCTTATATGATTTTTATGTACACATAAACTCATACATGCATTTAAAATTACACATGTATAAGAATATGCATGCCACAAAGCCACATACACAAATTTTCAATAGAATGTCTAGTTTTTAAAAGAAGCAATTCAACTGCCAGTAACCTTGTAATTGCTAAAAGCACTTTAACCATAAATTTTAGAGTTGGAAAAAACACTCAACAATAGATTAATCCTATAATTTTCCCTTTGTTTAGTTCACAGAGTAGAAAAAAATTGAAAGCACCAACCATAACAAACTCTAGGGACAAAATATTCCCTTTCATATTTCTAATTTAAGACACTGAAAATAAAAACAAATCACCATCTCTTAAGAGCACTATGTAATAAAAGTTCATGAATGTGTTCAGAACAGTAGACTTTAAATATTAGCTGAAATAAAATCCCAAAGCAAGAAGAGAAAGTATTCATTTGAATATTCTCTCCCTTGAAGACTAGTATTGAGCCAAATCTTTACGGATTTACATATCTATGTGGGAGAATACATGTAAAATCCCTGCATAAAATCCCAATTCACATAGCAAAGCATTGTTGTCAAACATTCCATACTGCTGAGTCTATTGGTAATGATATTGTAAAATAGTCTCATTAACAAAATCTCTCTGTGAATTCAATAGCAAACATACCTGATATCTAGTATTTAATCTATCACTGGTGTTTGATTGTATTTTTATTAATTGAAAAATAAATTTCTTATATATTAGATTCCATTATAATTTTGTTTGTGAGTATCTTCTGAGATTGTCTTCTAAACATGCTTAGGTACATAAAAAAATACAAGTAAAATACACCAGGCTACATGTAATAGAACTAAAAAGTTTATTTTTTACTTGATATAAGCAAAAATCTATGTCGTTTTTGTTGTTGTTATTTTTGTTCCAGTTCTGGGTCTTGAATTCAAGGACTGGGCACTGTTCCTGAGCTTTTTTTGCTCAGGCTAGTGCTCTACTACTTGATCCATTGTTCTCCTTCACCTTGTTTGGGTAGTTTATTGAAGATAAGAGTTTCACAAGCTTTCCTGCCACAGGCTGGCTTAGAACTGTGATGCTCTGATCACAGCCTCCTGAGTAGCTATGATTATAGGCATGAGCTACGGGCACCCAGCTCTGCTGACATTTTAGTAATGATAAATTAATCATTCTAGAATATTTTATTAAAAAGTCATAGAATCATGAATGCTCAAAATAGGGGGGAGGAAGTCACTACTCAATAAATCCTTCAATTACTTGAATTTTGGATTTCACAGTACAAAAATATTTTAGAGTCGTGACAACAAAAAATAGAGATGGATAATACCATTTTATGTTTATATGTCCTGCATTTACCAAGCAGATTATGAGTTTTCAAGACTATCCTCTTATTTAAAATATCTCAACATTTTTTTTTACTCCTCATTTTTTTTTACTCCTCAATTATCAGAAAGACAGAATTTTCCACGCAGAAATAATTATTTAAATAGCATTGTTTGCCTTAAGGAAACTTTCTCCTGTATATTTGGTTTAGTTTGGCATGAGACCAGTATTTGGAATTCACCATTCTTATCCCACTAGCACAGTGATTCCTGTACACACACCCCACCCAAACCATTTGCTGATCACCATTCAGTTTAAAATTGTGACCACCACAAGGCATCCCAGTAGAGAATAATCCAAGCATTCCTTAAATTTGAGCTAAATAATATATATGTTTCTGTCCCCTTCACTTCCAGTTCTCACTGTAGGATTCTGGTTAGAATATTTTTTAAGATAGGAAAATCATCTTGTCCCATAATTCCTTTCTCCTGCAAGTACTTACTCCACAAAACAATACACCCAATTGTTTTAATTTATCTATTAACCTGGGTACATGGTAGAAATTTATGTATAGGAAAAAAAAGAAATTCCTTTATTTATTACCCATTGTAAATTACTCCTTCATTTCCCCCTAGGACTACAAGATGTGAGTGACTAATTTTCCTAGTACCTGGCATTTAGCAAATTCAAATTAGTCAATTGTTGTTGAGCAAATCAAGGAAGAGGAGCTGGATGTTAAATCGTCACACATAACAACTACATTCAAGTATTTTTCTAACATTATTTTGGATTAGTGTGGATATGGGTACAAGCCTTTCCACTTTAAAGTTGTAACAGAGGAAAGTTGCCATCTTAATTCCAGATATACACTGGAGATATGTGTTGAGGTGAAAAGCCTTACCTAACTATATTAAAAAGGCAGCTGTTAGGCCAGGCGCTAGTGGCTCACACCTGTAATACTAACTATTCAGGAGTCTGGGATCTGAAAATCATGGTTCCAGGCTGGGCAGGAAAGTCTGTGAGGCTCTTATCTCCAATTAACCACCAGAAAACTGGAAGTGGAGATGTGGCTCAAAGTGGTAGAGTGCTAGCCTTGAGCAAAAGTGCTTGGGGACAGTGCCAAGGCCCTGAGTTCCAGCCCCACAACTGACAAAAAAAAGACAGTTGTTAATGGAATGTATCAAATGTTCGATCACAACTGATTTCTATCAGCCTGAGATTGAGATTGTGTCTAGAGTCAATCAAGAATGGCTTTCTTTTCATACTGTGAGTTGCTTTGCCAACCCTCACCTACTCTATCCTCTCTGACAGACAGGAAGGAAACTTGTTGGGGTCATAGCTCAAGAGAGCTTGTTTCCCACACCATAAGAAACTCCAATTGAATCTGCTTTTGATTGTTCCATGGACAAACTGAATCAGAAGATAGGACTGAGAGCAGAGGCGATTTGATTCATTAGTTTCGTCCATCAGGACAACGATGTTCTATCTATATATAGTAGGGCACCACAGCCCTGTCACCCAAGCTAGGCACTTCTCCACCTGACCATGCCAGATGCAATCTGCATGACACTCATTGCAATGCCGCTCACAGAGCAATTCTCCTTTGACTTATGGAAAGGGAGAATTAAAACATGAAATGCCCATCTAGGCCTATATCACTCAATGATGAAGTGATGGTGTAGCATGAGAGAGTTCTCAGCTCCATATTAATTGATTAACTGGAAACCTCTAATTCACAAAAAATATGAATCATTAGGTTTTTTTTTTTAAGTTGGGAGTGAGGGGCTGAGATGCTGAGCTAGTGATGATCAGGTGGGCTGGAGTATTGACAATCATTCTGTGTCACTGGCTGTGAGAGTCCAGACTTCTTATCGCCATATAGGAGATGACCGCCTTTCCCTCTCTACATCATACAGCGTAGGCAAAGTCCAAGAATGGTTCCTAGCATAAGAAATGTGTGCAATAACTTCTGCATTTTCCTTTCTTTTCCCTTCTTTTCCTCCCTTCACTCTCACTTTGAAATAAGAATAATCACTACTATTTTTGCTTATGCAAGTTAATAAGAACATAAGAGGCCTGGAGTAGACTTTCCTGTTTCTTTATCCATAGAACAATGGTTAACCACTGTATCTCCTTTGCTGTGAGGATTAAGTATTCTTATATTCATAACATGTCTTAATCATTGCTTAGTACACAGTAAGCTTAATGAATGTAAGGTATTACTAGATGTTTACTTGCTCTATATTGACTCCTGCAATTACCTGGCAGTTTACCTGTGCAGTTCAACCTGAGCCACCTAAAACAGCCTTTCCTAGTAGAACTGATGTGCAAAGTACATATTACCACAGTTGCTAACACAGTTCCTTGGTAGACCCCAAATTGGATTTGTTCATCACATTTACAACCTTCAGTATGATACATCAATCATATTTTTGTTTCCAATTTTTTAGGTATAAGGGTTCTTGATAACATTAAACTGTTGATTTATTGCTAACACATAAAAATACAACATTGTATATGCACATAATTATGCATACATTGTGACTCTAATTTTAATATAATTGGTTTCAGGATTCATAATGAGAATAATTAATAACAATACTTCTGTTCTAAAAGTTAAGATGCAAATTTTCAAGTTATCCCAAGCAGACTGTAAAACATTCTGAATATTGATATTTTATGGTAAATAACCATGGGTTACTAAGCTGTTTTTTCCCTAAGTAGTAAATGATCTATTATTCTAAGTTGCTTATTCTCATCTCCTTCCTCCCCCACATGTGAACCAAGATGCTCCTTTACTATAGATTGTTACAAAGAGCTTCCAGGAGAATAATCTAATGATTTCAAATGTTAGCTTGTCAAGCTGATTGCTTCTTAAACATTGTTTGGGGGCTCTCTGCCTGGAAGTTCAGCTGTTCTACAAGCATTCAGATCTGTGAAACAAAAAATGGAAGTGCTTCCTCATCTCAGATGGTGAGGAACTATAATTCATACCTAAGTACCTCCCAATTTCCCGTGGTAAAAGTAACTCATTTAACAAAATTGTCTTCTGTGTCTACAGGGAGATTGGCACTGTTTTGCCAAGGGTGTGGCAGGGTGTTACTTTGGAGAAAGCAGTGGCTACCTCAGTTTATCTCTTTGGGTACCTGGCTTAAGGTAGGAAAGGAAAGTGAACTATAAAGCATTCCATATGCTCCCTGCTTATCTCCATCTCAAGTTCATATGGAGGAACAAAAGATAAAAGATGCAAAGTCTAAAAATCATTTAATGAGGAGAAAAATAGTGTTGTTAATGAAAGGAGTCAGGTACAAAAACAACTACTCCATGTCTCTAGTTGGACTGTCTATGACCTGGGGACTGTGTTTGTAGGAGTGATTTGGGCCTGGTACTACATGTGCTCAGCAAGGGTAAGACCTTGTCTTTCATTC